TTTTTTTTTTTTTTTTTTTTGGTAGTGGGGATCAAACTTGTGTCCTTGTGCTTGCGAAGCAGGCGGCGGAACCACTGAACCAAATCCTGGCCCACATTTATGATCTTTTTTAAGTGAAATCATCTTCACTGAGCTGCACCACCCACAACAGCAACTCCTGTTTATTGCATATTTGCTAGAAGGGACTCGATAACGTACTTGATGAAACTCATTTTCTGATGTTGGACCATTACCTCCACCCTGTGATAAGCAGATCTTCTCTTCTCTTCCAGACACTGGAGACCTGTGTCTTTTATCTCTTCCTCTGCATCTGTAGTCTTGGAGAAGTTACTAACAAATCTTTTCCCCTTCTGCAGAAGACATTTAAGAATAAGGAGACTGGAAGTGCAAGTAAATGAGGATTTCCTTGTAGCAAAAAACATTTTGCTAGTTAGTACATGTATTTTTCTTTTTCTCCCCTATGGTGTTACCTGAGGTCTTTGATAGGACAGACCATTACTTTTAATCAGATCCTCATTGTGTCTTGGCCAGCTTGTTTCCCCTTCCTGCCTGCTTGAGTTAATGGTAGCCCCAGGCTGTGAATTATAGGTTCCATTCAAGGTAGAAGGAGACTCTGAAAGGACTGGAGAATGAAGTATAGGAACCCTTCTCTGTTAGTTGTGCAGCAGAGAAGAAAATGCTGGATTCTGTGTGTTATCTGAGTATCTGGCTGCAGGGCTGTGGGTGGGGCTGAGACGAGAGATAACCCGTGAGGCCAGGGGGTGGCATTTGCTCCCCCAGATCTGGAGGTTAGCCCAGGGTCTGGCTTTTTAAACATTCGACATGAAAAAGATTGTGTGTGTGTGTGTGTGTGTGTGTGCATGCACAAGCTAGAAGTGAATGAAATTTCCCTTTGAAGGCCCTTCTCTCTTTGATGCCTACTGCCTTAGAAACTCTTGCCAAGGACACTAATTCTGGGAGCCTAGGAATGGCCACTCACCTACTGACCCAGTTCCAGTTGTAATCAGGTGTTCAGAGCAATGGGAATTAGTGTGGTTGCCAGTCACATCCATGCAAAGGCTGTCAGGCTGGGTAGCAAAAACATGCAAGGTGACCTACTTGGCAAGGGGTACTTCTGCATGGCTGTTCCACCTCAGCCTTCCTGAGCTCCCCTGCAGTGGTGCCTGCCCTTCGCCCCACCCTTGGCTAACCTGCTTCTGCTGCTGAGTCCTTCCCGGGGAGAAGACAGCACAGCCATTGTTCCTCTGAGCCCACCCCACCCAACTCTGCCTCTCCCTCTACCAGCCCTGCTCAAATGAGGGCCCCAGCCGAGTCAACAGGTTCACTGTATTTATCTCGTCCTCCATCGGCCTCGTATTGGCCAACCTGAGCAGTGAGTTGTATTACTGGTGGTAGTTTTTGTTTTTGTGAATCTTGCCATTCCCCCTCCACCTTTAAGTTCGTGTTTCTTGTTAGTAGAGGGAGATGTAGTTAAGTACGGAAGAATGTTTCCTTCTAAACAAGGCATTACTTAAAATAGGGGCCTGGAGGTAAAGGTGGGCTTCTGCAGCGGATTTCCCTGTAAGGTGACCTCCTGTGCTCCCTCCCCTGAAAAGGCTGTCGGTGCCTCTGCGTGGGTGGATGGCACTCAGGTCACTGCTCAGAAACCTCCTCCAGCCCCCTCAGGTACCAGATGTCACTACATCCTTCACTTTTCCTGCAGAGCATTGACCAGAATGTACAGATTTGCTTGTTCGTGTAACTTTGTTGGCAGTGGTGCTTGTTATATACCGGGCTTTTTATGGGTAGAACTGCATCCGCTTTGTGTCTGCTTCTCTCTGTTGGTTCCCAGCACCTCATCTGGCATCCGCTAACTGGGGACTCCATAAGTGCTCCCGGGAGGGAGCGCAGACACCTGTTGGTCTTAAGAGATGCTTGCATCAAAACCTTTTCCGTGTGCATCTTAGCACAGGCCCTTTTAAATTGCGACTTACACATTTCCTCTTTTGGGCCTTTCTCTTCCCACAGCACCTTATTCTGCCACAGGCACAGTGCCTAGGATATTGCTTCGGCAGCTGTTCTAAGAGTCCAGTTCACCTGTGCACGTGAGCATCTCCGCAGGTGGAGTGGCCTCCTGCTCGCTTTACAGTCCCACTTCTGAGGGACTGAGGGACTGTTCAATGCTGCCTCCACACTTCTGATTGCTGACTTACCCTAAAGGGCTTTTGCTTTCTTTGTGCTCTGCCCACTTGGGAGAACAAAAGTGCTGTTCGGTGTCCTTTCCTCTCTTTGCACAGATGAAGGCATTTGCTTTTGGGCTCAGGCTGCTGTCTTCCTTTACATGGGCGTTAAGGAGAGCAGGACCCCAAACAGACGTGCCCGAGGCCCTCCTGTTTGTGACTGGTGGGGAAAATTAAGGCTGTGTGGAATGACACGGATCCAGAGGCTACTCTCCCCCAGGGGACCCCTAGATCCATCTCTGCTCCCTGACCCACCGTCAGGACTGTTCACGGAGTCCCTCCATTGGCAAGCCCTCCTCTCTGGCCTCGCCGACTGAACCCTGGGCTAACTGCTACCCCACGTGTTTGCATCCAGGATCGCCTGTTTTTTGTGATGGAGTTTGTGAATGGAGGCGATTTGATGTTCCACATCCAGAAGTCCCGTCGTTTCGATGAGCCGCGAGCTCGCTTCTATGCTGCAGAGATCATCTCGGCCCTCATGTTCCTCCATGAGAAAGGAATCATTTACCGGTGAGTTTGGGTTACTCACTCCCCCTCTTCTGACTCATCCCATCCTTCCGTCTTCCCTGATAATCAGCTGAAGTCTTTTTGGAACTAAACTCACACAGCTCTAAGTGGCCTTTAGAAAAATGCATAACACAGCGACAGGCCCTGCCTCCAAAGTAAGACTTGCCCTATGTATTCATAAAATAGACTGAGAGGCTCAGAAGAGATTGTACACAGTCGATTCCACCAGGGTTTGCTAAAGGCTTATTGTAACCAGGCCATGCAAGGCACTGAACGCATTACTGTGGTCTTTTTTCCATTTGAACGCTTGGAATGTTTTGGTTAACGTGGATTCATTGCATTTTAAGAAGCCCGGCTTATACTGAGACCATGGCGAAGTGTTGCTCTGCATTGCTGAGTCCATGGGCTGATGGGACGGGCCTGCCGTTGACCGTGGAGGCAGTGCCTACCTGATTGTATTTCTTACCTGAAGCCCCCTCCCAAGTAGTGTTTGACTCCATTTCGCTACCCTCTGATCGGGGCTCACCATAACTTGAACATGCTCAGGTCCAAATGACATTAGAACTCGGTGCGTATCAAAATGAAACTTTAGTCAGAGAGAAGGTGGAGGAGGGTGAGCAGGGTAATAATGTTACACAGTTTTTATTCTTAAAGTTTTCTCTTTTCATGTTGTCGGTAACTTTCTGCTCTTCTATTTTTCAGTACACTAAGCTACATACCTTTTTCAATTTTTTTTTTTTTAATTTCAAGACAGGATCTTGCTAAGTTGCTCAGGCTGGGCCCAGGCTTGCAACCCTTCTGCTTCAGCCTCCCAGAGTGCTAGGAGTAAGCACAAACCACCAAACCTGACTACCTTCTGCTCTCTCAATCACACTGTAATGCAGTTGCTAATACTTTTTGTTCCTCTCTCTTGTGATGCGATTATTTTCTTTTGACAAAAAATTCTCTTCTATTTACATTTGCTACAGTGATGAATAATTCCAGTTAAAATTTGCTGTTGGTTAGCCTTGCTAAATACTGTTCCTTTTATGAGCACACAGCAATGTTGACATCATTATCAAAGTGTAAGAGAGCCTTAGGAACGGAATATTCTTTAACACTCCTCCGCAAGTCAACGTAGGAGGGGAGTAGTGAAACTGGGGAAGATGATGCCAGAAAAAAAAAATGAGAAAGCTGAGGACGTATTACAGGCACCCCGCAAAGCAGAGACCCTGAACCTTAGCTAGATGTAGCACTGTGATCACAGACCAAAGCTGTGAGGTACGGCAGGGTGCAGAGCTGGGAGCCAGGCCTGGAGAGCAGCAGGGTAAGCATCAGCTTGCAGGTCTGTAGTCGTTGGCTCGCTGAGTCTGGGGCTGCCACAGGTGACTTCTGGGGGCCTATGGGTTGAGTTTTCTTGCACAGGCTATGGTGTTCTCCCGGTGGTTCTGTTGTAGGCCTTTTCCTCTCTCCTCTCTCTACATGGCCTGTGATTTGTGGTGGAGTTAAGGAGGCAGAGTCCTCGCCCACAGTGGGGTCTGCTCAGGGGTCTCCTCTCCCTGGCTTATCCGTTCCTCTCTGCTTCGCTCACCCAAAAGAGCTGCTGCACATTAAAATTTTAAGAACAGTGACTTCCCTACTTGAGACTTTTGTTATAAATCAACATAGTAATATTATTAATGACAAGTGCTAGACAGTATAGCATTTGCCTCTGTTTCTCTTGTACTCCTCCTAACAGTGTCATTAATGTAACAACAACATTATTCACTTTGTTTGGATGGATAATTAAGACTTAGAAAGGCTTCATTAATAACCAGGCTATTAGCTGGAAGGGAAGCCAGAACTCAAGTCATATTTTTAACCACTGAGATTCCCTGGCTTCTCAGGAGAGACTTGAAAGTGGAAAGCACCATGGGAGAGCTGGCTTCTCATTCCCCACTCAGGGAAAGGACAATTTGAACTCAGAAAATGAAGCAGAGCTGGGGAACAGTAAGGGCTGACTCGGGCTTTCTTGGCTGCTCAGGATTTTATGCAAACACCGTACTCATCTGGTGCAAGGCAGCAAGCTTGCTTTGCCCCACGAGTGTCCCTGTGTGTTTGTCTTGTGGTGCAGAGAGGGTGGACACCATGACTGCTGCCCTTTCTGGTGAAGCAGGATCAGCCCATGCCTTGCAGGTTTATTTCAATTCATGGCATCCGTGGTTCAATTCTGATAAACGATTTTAGTTTGCTCTTGGACTTGAATCCCACGTTCAGGCTCCAACTGATATGGCTGACTTTGAAGTGAGCACATTTAATTAGGATAGATTCAGTTGCTGTTTTGGCCTTGTGGATTTATTACACAGGATAATTTAATTCCACTCAGGCTGCTGGCTGGGAGTAGAATCTTAAGGATAAGGCTTTCGAAGCCCACTCTTTGGAATTCACATGTAGTCAAGGGCACACTTGGCTCACGGAGGATGTGAACTTGAATCGGGAGCCCAGTGAGAATTCAAGAACCCAGAGAGCATCAGAAAGCCTCATGCATCATGCAAGGACCAGGATGCCTTTTATCAGAGTTAAAATGATCTCCAGAAGATTCCTCTGACCTGCCTAGTTAGAGTTGGTCCCCCCTCCTTGGGGGTGGTGGCCATTTATTTTCCAGCAAGGTACAAAGATGGTGCCATCTGTCAGTCCTTGTTAATTGGACCTTAGAAGGTAGAGGCTGAGCCTCTCTCCTCCCAGCATGTCTTTCTTGTCTCTTCTCTGACTGAGCCTGTGTGGGAGGAGCCAGGCCAGCCACACCTTGAGGCTTGTGTTGTGACCCTGCCACTCCAGATGCATTCACTTGCATTTTGTGGAGCAACAGAAGCCCAGGCCCCAGGAGATACAGCAAAAGGCTCTGGCTTCTTACTTTTGGTTAGAAATTCCGGAGACTACCGCAGCCAGAGATCCAGGAGAGCAGGCTGGAAATAAAGCAGTCAACATGTTGGGTTGGCCACTGGAAAAGAGCTGGTCCATCACTGTGTCCTGGGCTTAGGAACCCAGACAGAGCTCATAAATACTTTCCATGTGGCATATAGCTCCCCCCCCCACAGTTGAACTCTACATAAAAGTTGAGGAAACACAGGGCATGCGGCCCACTTCTCAGCATCACGGGCGCCATTTTGTATCACATTTTATCGCTTGTATTAAAGAATTCACCCATCGACATTTTCACCCCAGACTCCTAAACCAGCCAGCACACATTTGATGTGTGCCTAACGAAGCATGGAATGTATCTAAAATATGTTGGGTGCAGAAGTGCTCATAGGTGAGCATAGTTTAAATTTTGCTTCCTGCTTCCCGTGTTACACGGAGTTGCTTGAACACATACTTTCCAGCATGTGCCGCTTGGTGCTTTGCGTGTGTGGTCATCATGATCCGTGCATCTACTGTGCTATTCCACTACTCTGTTTTCCAGATGTAGAACCACCCCAGAGAGCAAGAGTCGCCCACAGAGGCTGACTGCCAGGCCTGACACATTGTATTCTGTGCTTATACTTAGGGAGGACATTAACTTGTAGAGAAAATCACCTTTGATTCCCTCTCCACCTGAGAGAGAAATCTGTCTCTCCTTTTCTGTTCCTTCCCCTTCCCTCACCTCTTCTGTTCTCCTCCCCTCTCCTTTCCCCTCCCCTCTCTGCCCCTCTGCCTGCCTCCCCCTCGCTCTCCCTCTTGGCCCCTCAGAATTCTCTGGAGGAGTAGCAACATCCCCCCAAGATACATTCTGTGAAACTAGGCTCAGAACACAGTGGTTGGAATTGTGTGAGCTCGCGCATCTCTGACATCATCTGCCTTCTGTTTCTCAAGGGTGGCGTGAAGGGCCGTGGGTACAGACTCCAGAACCCTGTATGCTACGGACTTGGCTGGGAATCGCTCCACTCAGTGTTTCCCTGGTGAGGTCGCCTCTGTGAGTGTGGTTTCCTTGCCTAAGGATTCACGGGGATCTGTTTCCCCGTCACCGTGTTGACTGAGTGATGAAGGGGACATCCCTGAGTTAGGACTCTGCGTTTCTGCCCTTCTGGAGAGCCGTGGCGACATCCGTAACTCCCAGGCCTCCGGGACTTCTCTTATTTCTGAGTGTTTCTTAGCAGACTTTCACATTCCCCAAGCAGCTCTCATTTGAGCCTGGAATTTTGGAATCTTACTGTTGCCTCCCCTAGTTACAACTCAGTCCCTTATTGATGTTTCTTCTATTCATGGTAGTGAGAATATTTTTCTTTTTAAATCAAGATGATAGTCAAGTTGAGTGGCTCTGTTTTTCCTTTGTCAACTAATAACATCATTCTTTCTGTTCCAAGAAATAGGTTACTCTTTCTTGATCTGCCTGCTGTAAAGACAGCTACAAATTGTCATTTGTTATTTTTACAGTCCTTGTTTATTCAGTATGTGCCAGTCACCAGAAAGCTCAGAACATAAGTAACTTTCCTGTCAGATTTTTGGCTGTGAGCCCTTCCCCAGCATGGGTGCCAGAACTCAGAGCTTTTTAGTTACATTCCCTTCTCTTCCTGTCATGCTTTGTTATACCAAGGAGTGGCCTTATATTCAGTAATCACTTTTCTGTCATCAGAAATTAACCACCATCCTAGACTTTGTTTTCAAGAAAGTGACAGAGAGCTCAGCGGTTTCCAGCTTAAGAGTTGCTTGACATTTCCACCAAATGCGGTCTCCCCTGTCCTGCAGGGAAACTCTTAGCCTTTTCTGTTCCCCCGTGCATTCCTTTAGGGATTCACTGACCACCAACTCTCCACCAAGGACACAGGGAGCAAAAGCAAAAATACTCCTGGTGAGTCTGTCCTGGTGAGGGAGACAGTAGCAATCCGGTGCCCACACTGGTAGAAATTTCAGCTGCGGCCTGTGCTGTGAAGGAGAGAAACGCAGTGCCACGACAGACGTTCCTCTCTCAGGGTCTGTCTGGTCGGGGAAAGATGGCTGATTTTCCTAAGGAAGCAACGTCTGGGCTATGTTCGCTAGGGAGAAGGAGCAGAGGGCATCCAAGACAG